CCATGTGGTGAATATTGGTATCTAGCACCTTTATATGGCAACAGAGAGACTAGTGAGCAGAGGGCCAGTATAGTGATAACAGAGGGATGATAATATCAGGCTGAGATGAAGGAAAGCATCCAGGCAGAATGTTCCTGTTGATAATGTGAGTAAATGAGCTAATAATGAAGTGTTGTCTTGTCTCCATAATGTGGACATGCTAGAGAGGATGATACAAGGGTAGGCTGAAAAGTAATGCACACATGCTTGTAGAGTGTGAATGAAATGATCTTCAGAAGTGTGCCATGGCATATGGAAGTAACATTCCCCCTCTATGTGCATGTGCAGTTTGAGGTTGTTGCATTCATTCAGTATATTTTGAGAAGTGGAAATATGGAGACGTGTTTTAGTGCTATGTCAACATGACTTGTGTGCTGTTGTCGAATTTTTAACTGCTGAAAAAGGGACTCCTACTGAGATTCATTGTCATTTAAAGGCTGTTTATGATGATGATGCTGTTGCTAGGTCTACTGTAAATTGATGGATAATAAAATTTTGTGGTTGCGAGCCTGGAAAAGCCATAATTGTTGATGAAACACACAGTGGGCGTCCGATCACTGCCACAGACAATTACCGTTGCCCCTCGTTGCAATGTTTAATTCTTCTTAGTACATACAGACTCTAAAACACCTCTGACGTTGAGTTTGTCATGTTAGAGGCAGCCTGGCACCAATAATCTTGCAACATGACAACGCTCGTCCACACACCTCATGCGCAACTGGAGAGGCTCTGCAAAACCTGAAGTTCGAACTGGTTCCACATCCTCCTTATTCCCGATCTTGCGCCTTACGATTTTTATTTTTTTCCTCTACTCAAGAGAGACCTCAAGGGTGATCATTACACCTCAAATGATGAGGTGAAGGCAGCTGTCAAGTCCTGGATTCGAGAAAAGTTGGAAGAATTTTTCAGTGATGGAATGAAAAAACTTGTTACATGTTGAGAGAAATGTGTTAGTCTTAATGGCGACTATGTTGAAAAATAAATATATGATTTTGAAGCTTAAGAATTGTACTTTAATGTACTTTTTGCCTGATCTTGCTATTTGTTTTTGTTCGTGTTCTATGTGTTTTTGTTCGTTGTTTGCTAGTAAGCATGTGTGCATTACTTTTCAGCCTACCAGTGTAGTTTCCTGGAGTAAAAAAGTGGAACCATTAAGTGGAACCGTTTCTGTTCAGAGATGGCACAGAATAATCTCCACTGACGTTCCAGTGTTCAACAGCCAGTAATGGAAGGGCAGAAGTGGTCCCCAGCCTTTTTCCCTTTGTGCAGATATCTATGCCTCTGTCAGATAATGCCTGGAATGCTGGTAGATGGACCTCAGATGATCCTGTGGGAGATTTGTTTACTAAATTGAGCCTGATATCACCTGACTGGACTGCATTATTGGCCTCCTCATTGCTTGGAATGCCTGAGTGATCAGGAGTGTAACATAGGATGATGGGGCTGGAAAGAAAGTAATAAGGGCAACAAAATTAATCAAAAGAGAGGAAGACAAGACACAAGCGAGTGCTATTATGATGTTAGTGACTGTCAGTAATTAGCAATATGGACCGGCCTACTTAGCTGGAGAGCTCTTTATATTTTCAGGACCTTCACTATACAGACCTGCAGCAGGAGTCAACTTCCATTACCTCACAATATGAGTTGGCCAGTATGACCACATCTAAAATACTGTACAGATTGGAGATTTAGCCTTGTCTGACCTAATATAAGCTATCTGGGCTACTTACTGTGATGTGTTGGGAAGTTTGTCCCAAGGGGTGCAACTCTTGAATGGTATCATGTGCATGCAGCTCCAGTCCTCCAGGTGGAGTAGCAGTAAGAAGTGTTTTCATGTATGCTTGCTGGATTAAGAACCTATTGTCAAAGAAAGGATAGAGCACATGTGATAAACTAGCATGTTGATAGCTAGAGCATGTTGGTAATGTGCCAGCAGTAGAATGTGAGAGCTACCAGAGAAGAGGCACCAATGGGCTAAAAGTTCCTGGGACAGGTGAGGGAGGATAAAGGCTGCTGTGCAGTGCTGGAGCCACTTGTGGAGAGGTTAAACCTGTGTCAATGTATAGTGAGGTGTTGGAAACTGTTTAAGGAAGACTCAGTGCAGTTTTCAAGATAGAATTTAAGATGATGCAATATGATGCACAGTTCTAGAGGAGTCTCCTTCCAAAATGGATTCTGAATTCTGCAATAGGGCAAAGTATAGTATATATTAGGTACAGTATATTCCCATCCCGGAGCTACTGGAGAGACATGAAGCATTTTAAGAAGCCTGTCTGAGTGAAGACGGTATACAGACTACAAAAGAGCACATTGAAATATAAACAAATATGCAAAAGGTTGTAATCTGTGAAATGACCATGGTTGTTAACATTAATGTCAGTGGAGGATATGATAGATGAGGAGAGAAGTCTATGTAAGTGCTTTTTTGTGCCAAAAATGCCATGCCCATTGGGAGGTATAGAATTCTAGTCATTCAAGGGCTCTTTGAGCATGGGTAGTCACTGTAGGTTTGTGAACTAGAGATAAGGAGATATAGGTCATCTGCCTATAATATGCAAGTTTTGTAGGGGCAACACAGTCTAGAAGCCTGCCATATAGCACATAAATAACAATAGTGCAAGGATGCTGCATTATGGGATGCTAAAACTTGAAAGTACTGCTGTGCCACCCTACTCAAAAGTTGCCATCTGCTAGGGAGCTGTGTCCTATGCTAGCTTACAAACCTCTTAAGACTCAGGGAACAAAATTCCACAACAGGTCCTGTTGGCATGTTGAGTTGTGGGCTTCTTCCATATCTAAGGCCATAAAGTAGGTCTATTGTTGACTAGTCCAATACTTGATTGAATTTCTTCCCTACAGGGGTATCCAAAGTGGATGGAATGGAGATGGCATGTAGTTAAAAAGTAAACCTGTATTCACTGCAACATGGGGTGCTTGGGAACCTCTGTAATAAGTGGTAAGGCGATCAGCCTGAAAAATGTTAACAATCAGGGCTTTTGGTCTGGATGACTATCACCATTTTTTACATTGCTGGATACTTGCCTCACATCAAGATACGTTTGCCCTCTGGGGAGTGAAGCACTGATCCCATCTGATCCAGAGGAGTTTGGCCATAAGGATTGAAATACCAACTGGAGGTTAGAGAGGCAAAATGGGAATCATTGTCTCACTGATGCACAACTGCTGATTTCAGCTTTGCACCATAGCCAATGCATGCACTGAGTACTTGCATATTGCACCAAGGATTTGTGATAGGAGACTGGGATAGGAGGAAGGTGGGAGTCAGAAGCTGGGGCAGGGGTATAGAGACAATAAGAAATGTGGTAGAGTATGGATACAGAAGGAGGAGAGCAGAATTATTTTGCTAAGTTATGTTATTGGATAATAAACAATAACTAAGTATGCCTTTGTACACTGAGGGCTGAAGATTGAATAAAACCTGTGTCAAAAATAATTTGTACTTCAAATAATGTGGAGAAATGAAGTGGACTGATATGAAGTTGGATAAATAAGAAATTTGTCTTTATATAAAGTTTAAAGAAGTTACTAACACCCTCAAAATATAAAAACTGTTATAAAGGATTTGAAAAACTAATACTGTATAGATTAGTAGTTTAACAGGTTGAATTTATTGATATCATGACAGATATTAAGTTTTTATTACCTTATTCAGAATTATTAGATTCTTGTCAATTTTAGTTATATTTGTATTTTATTATTTCAAATTTTATATTTAAATGATTATAATAATCATTTTTTCAATATTATTTAACTTTAAACTAAATAACAGATAATTTGTATAATATATTGTTTCTTTGAACAATAACAAAGAAAAGAGGAATTTAGTTTTCTTTGGATAAAATAATTTATAATTTTAAAATTTCAATTCAAATTTCAACGATTTTCATTAGAAAAACATTTCAAGCATACACAAATTTCAGTATTAAATGTAAACATTTATTTTCACTTCACTTGTTTAAGGTATTGATTTTATCTATTGGAATTCGATATGCAATTTTGGAACATCACCATTGATTTGTATGTACAGTTACATCTTTTGATAAATTTTTAAATGTAAATTAAGATTTATATATGAAAAATTTGAATGAAATATTTCAATTATTTAAAATGACTTACATAAATCTGCAGAGCATCTGTGAATTGGTAGCTTTGTTATTAATACAGGTATCTGGTATCTCTTGATTAACTCGGTTAATTAATTAAAACTTTTGCCGTGTATAAAAAGGGATTGCTGCAGTTAATTTCACGCGTTAAACAGATGGATGGATGAAACAAGAATAAAACATAAAATTCAAGTCGTGATAGAGCTCGAAAATCATGATAACTTGATACAATTCACCGTTACTTAGATAGAACTGAATACAGATGTTGCGTTTTTATGGGCATGAGTGTTTTTAGTTTTTATACTATATGGATAATGGAACAGACAAATGTTGCAGGGTCTGGAATTTAGTGCCCGATTTCAATCCTGTTGACGATAATTTGTTTTCAGTGTGGCAATTTCTTCACATTTGTAACAGATTTCTTCAAAACACTTAGACAATGTAGGCCTAAAGTTTACAATATAATTATTGAAGAAAAATACAAAAAAGAAATGTGTCAAAAGTCATTCTGAAAACACACAGGATTACGTAAAAACACACTGCAACATTATCTTTTTATTTGAAATTGTGTCGCAAAAGGAAAAATAAATGTATGTCCCATTTTTATATTATTAGACATTACTTCAGAAGAATATAAAAGAATTTTAAAATGTTAAATAGTATTTTTATTCTTTAGTGACTAAGTTGTTTAGCATGTAAATTTTTATAAATATGTCATTTTTGTTTCATTTTGTATTTTATAAAAGTTAAAAATATAACAGTATCAAATATCAGTTTTTAAAATAAAATATCATTATCATTAGAAGAATCATGAAAAATTAAATAAATTTTGCTTACCTCTTCACTTTCGACAGGAAAGCATTTAATCGTACTTGGCTATTTCGTTCTTTGGAAACTTAAAATATTTAATATTATTTTAGATGAAAAATTATTGCATCCCTAAATGGTAAACACCATTCACTGTCCTGTAAAATTTGTTATATATAAATTTTAATATTCTTATACATTTGTTTATTTAAGATATAAGAAATTCTTACATTTAAGTTAAATTTCTATTCATAAATAAATAATTTCTTACATAATACAAAATATTTAAATAAGTGAATACTATACTACTTCGAACATGTCACAATTGCAAAGGATACAATAAATTGATAATTTATATATTTTATGATTATAAAGAGAAGTATGCAATAATTTATTATTCTTTAAATCTCTCAGAATTTGCCAGCATTAATTATATTTTTCTTTCAATTTTTTTAATACAATTATATATATTACATACTTAACTAAATTATTCCCAGTGAAGCATTAAACAACAGTTATTTCTATTTCACTGAATTTTTATTAAGATAAATCTGAATACTCTATTCTTGAAATGAAGTATTATTTATTAAATAATAAAAAATATCTAATATATTATTTAGAACATCATCATATAAGTTGTTTGTTTACTTAGATTAAAAATAAAATGTCTTCAAAGTGATATAACCTAAATAAATAAAAAGTGAAGTGAAAAAAGTTTTCTTTCATTTTTTAATATTATGATGTGAATAATTTAAAAACTTAAGATTATTGAAATGTGCAGAACTTGCTTGCAATATTTGTTTCATCTGGATTATTCAGAAAAAAAAACTTTAAAAAAAAATCAGATTTTTAACTAATGAAATTAAATTTTTATGTAAAATTTTTTATTGTTTGACTTGCAATTGTATTTAAAATCCAAATTAACCACAAGAATGATCTTTTGTGCCCATTAAAATTATCTGTAAGAACAATTTTAAAGTAACAATAGTTTTTATCTTGGTCTTGTTTAAAATTTTGGTGAAATATTTCAACAAATTGTACCTACAGTACAAATGAAGCAAGAAGCAGGTTGAGTCACAATAAAATTATTCAGTAACCATAATACTGTTATTGTAGTAAAATTAGAAATGTAAACTGAATTCTATTAAAATCATTTTTTATAGATTGACAAATGAATTTTTCAATGATTTTTTTTTTCAAGAGAAACGTATAGCACTTAATATTAAAATCACATTTTAAAAGGAAAGGAAGTGGCTTTATTAAACAAATTGGATTATAATTTACATAGAAATTCATTTCCGTTAGAGAAGTAATTTCTATATATTTTAATTTGTTTGTTTGTGAAAATTTTTACAAAGATCGCTTTTAGTCCTTGGTATAATAAAATAAAATATCTACTAATGTGATGTAGATAATAATAAGGACTTATCATTTGTGCTTGTTTTTTTCAAAAATTGAAATTTTTAAATAGCATAAAAATAAATTTAAAAACATAAATTAAAGTATTTTTAAACAAAGTATTCAATGTGGAAAAAACTATCGTTAAAAGTGAAATAACTAGTTAAAGTCGAACGCATAAAAATATTAACGACTGGTAAAGCAATTCACATCACTTATCCATAAGTCGATATGAATAAAAGTTTTTATGATTACTTCTATTGTTTCTCAACTTACACTAAAGTCAAACGATCCGTTAAACTATTAATCATATAGAATTATTGATAAATGAGATCTATCGTCATCGCAACTTTACCAATCATTAATACTTTCATGCTTTCGACATAAGATTTGGATATATGGCATTAACAGTTGGTAAAGTTGATAGCAGTCGAATATTAACAATTATTGGTAGCATACATTGATACCATATCATTTGATAAAAGGATATCAAAATATATTGGATATCATCATCATATTATAATACTGCACCTTGATACAAAGTGCATTAGAAGTAATTGAACGACAAAACTCGAATCATGCATCAACTTTGGTAGTGCACAAGTTAACTATCAGATGAAAAATAGTATAGTTGATATCTATTTCATGTTAAAAAACATTACTTTCGTAATAAAACTAACGATTTTAATATTATAGCACATCAAACATTGTCCCACTACTACTGATGTACCGGTACTTCTATATAGTTGTCATTATTTATTATATCTTCTATTATCGTTTTTATAACCATAATACTGCTTTTATATTATTGATACTTGCTTGTGGGAGTGGAGGAAAGATTCTAAGCGACGCCTGTCTTGGCATTGAGTGCTTTTAAATTAGTGTTAACTATTTATTTAAAAAATTTAAAAGCAGTATTTTGTATATTAATAATTATAATAAAATACCTAGCTTCAAATTTTTAATATATGCAGTTCTAGTGTATTTACTTTTGTCAGGTAACTATATATAATAACTGTAGATATAAGCCTTATATTAGGTTTTGTTTTTCTTATTCTATCTTAAAAGGATTACTAATTTCAAATTAATAATTAGATGTTTTGTAAATTTTCGTCCTAATGGCAAATGGTTCGAAAGGTCAGTCGTCAAGAAAGTGTGTAGTCTGGAACACGAGATAAATAAATGGTGGTTCCTTTATGGACAGACTTTGTCTTCAGAAAATTAGATGCTTACTAAGTTCTAAGATTTGGAGGCTTTTGTTGTAGATATATAATAAAACAGATTATATTTGTTTATTTCTAATACATACATTCTATACGAAATATATATGTAATAAAAATGAATTTAATGAAAACATCGTTATTTGAGAAACACTTACAAAATGACGAAAAATTCCAAAAAATAATTTAAATTTTTATTTTAATTGTTAATGCCGATAAAAACTTACATAATGCATCGTAATAAGTAATTTTATATATTAAAATTCTTCCCATAACATCCTTTACAAATATTTGTTCAGCAGATTCTGCTATAATTTCAAAGGCGTATTTTAACACAAACGTGTTTATACAGTACAGTATGTGTATATACAAAATAATTAGAATTACATGCTTTCTTGCATTCGTTTCAGTCTGTCTTTTAGAATATAATGGAAAATATCCAAGCTGATTTTTTTTTCCAGTTAGTATGTTATTCCTTTTAATGTTTTGTGCAGAAACAGAAATAATTTAATTAAAAATCGTGTTGTAATGAAGTAGGAACGAAGCATTAGATGTATCGTTACTGCATTGATACTTACAAGTATTATATAAATTTATTCGTTAAGTTAGAAAAGTTACCTCACAGATTAATGAGCAATTTAATTTTGCAATTAGTCGCTAATCGTTTTCATAGCATTTTCAAGGAAATTGTCATAGTTATCGCCAAACGAACTCTGTGTGATATAATACTAACATGCAATTGTATGTTAGCATTACTAATGCAAGCGAAAGGCGATTAACGGCAAACAGAACATGCTTATTAGCCTGTCAGGCAATTCCCCAAGCTTATATTTCACAGTATGGTCTGATAAATATCAAGCAAAGATGATGAATTATGTTTTTTACGACATAATTCCGTAAAGACGAATTTTTTAAAATAAAACTACTTTTAATTTTGAATTAAATAGATGATAAAGAATGACTTTTCAATTTGAAAAATATTTACGTAAGGTTACAAATCGTAATTAATCAAACTGCGTTTATCCTGCTTTATCATTTTCTAAATCTGACTTTTTAATAGTAAATTATATTTTTAAAATTTCCTTAAATAAAAATTTATAGAAAACGACATAATTCCGTAAAGACGAATTTTTTAAAATAAAACTACTTTTAATTTTGAATAAAATAGATGATAAAGAATGACTTTTCATCTTTAAATGATTAAATTATTTAGAAATATTATTTCTAACGATGTATCAGATTTTTTCCTCTTTCGATATTACAGATTCGTATGGAATTATCTATATCGAAAATGCAAATATTTGCGTATATATAAAGAACTACATTTTAATCTTTTCATTTCAATACTGAAAGAATGAATTTCTATATTCTTTACATTTTAATTCAACATTATGCTAACATTATTTATTCGAATTCTCAGTCTTTCACACATGGCAGAAAAGAATAATGGTTAAAGGAATAGTCTTATCTATAAACAAATTTCTCTTTGAATTAAATATACTTAGAACTTAAAAAATGTTCAAAATGTCAAAAAATTAATAATTCTGTAAGAACAATTTNCGCGCGTGTAACAAGTATCGTTATTATGAATTCCATGTTAATACATATTAAAAATTTATGGCCCATCAAATTAAAATATTAAAATATAAGCAACATTGTTATGTTAAAATATTAAAATGTTAGTTTTATCTGTCGGGATAATGTAATGAAGTGTAAAATAAAATAAGTTATATCTTTTCATATATTTATTTTTCATGCAGCTGGCTGTTAGGTCACATCAGTTTTTCCAGCTAAAAAACTTTAAGAACTTATAAATGTAGCATATACTGTGTATACTGGAATACCCTTGCTTTCTCTTGAGAGAGAGAGTGTGTGTTTACTCTTTAGGTCAGCAAACAGTACTATCAACAATACGAGACATTGCTAAGAAAAATATATTACTGACTATAAAAAGTTTGAATCGAAATTTTATCAAAAAATTAAAATTTATATATATATATATAATAACCAATATAGATTTACATAAATGTGTATTTGCGTTTTGCATTTAAATATCTACGTAAATCTCTATTGATTACGTGTAGCACATAAATAATTACATTGAAAGTTATGGCATATATAAATTGTATAATTACAATTGAAATATCATAATAGATATTAATTAATTACTTTATTAAACTGTAAATTTTAATTAAATATTGAATTGAATATTAAATATTAAAATATTGAAAATATTTTAAATTCGTGCATTTTTAAAAGCATTTTTTTTCGTGTAAAAATATACAGATAAAAAATGATATGGATTGATGTTGATATGCATTGGTGATATGTATATGGTCGTTTTTACAAAAATTTTGAATTCATTCGCGTATAGCAGAAGAAGTAGCATACGCACAGTCTATTTATATATGAATATAAAATTTACATGTATAGCGATGTATATTTATCGAATATGTATTGTGAAGAATACTTTCCGATATTTAGACATTAGTTTAAAAAATGTATATACTTAAAAACATATTATAAAAAATTATATATAT